TCATTGAAGATTTGGTCCAACAAGGATTGAATGCTGATGTACCAGCCCTGGTGAGACACTGCCTCACCAATACATACTTCACCTGGAATGGAACATTCTACAAACAAACTGAAGGCACCCAAATGGGTTCTCCTTTATCTCCAGTTGTACCCAACATTTTCATGGAAAAATTAGAGATGGACACCATCCAGGCATGTACTCTACGCCCGTCCTTGTGGAAGAGGTATGTGGATGACACGTTTGTCATCTGGCCACATGGCCAAACGGCTCTGAACCAATTCCTCAACCACATAAATTCCATACACCCAGCCATCAAATTCACCATGGAGGTAGAAAAGGATGGCAAGCTACCTTTCTTGGATGTCCTAATCAAAAAGAGACCAGATGGCTTAATGAGCCATCTGGTCTACAGGAAAGCAACCCATACTGATGCCTACCTAAAACCTGACTCCCACCACCATCCATCCCAGAAGAATTCCCTCATCAAAACTCTACACCATAGAGCTCAATGTATCTCCGACCATGAACACCGAACCAGTCAACTCAAACACGTGTAATAAATCACAGCGACGACGATCTCCGACTTGTCGCTTCTTTATTTATTTCTTTAATGGCTGGACAGCTCCACGTTCCATTTCCCGAAATCACTGTACATTCTTCGTTGCGCGGCGTAAGTTGGTGTTGTCCTGCGCACGGCTCGCTCGTGCTCCCAGCTCCCGTGCACCGCTGGCTGACGGCGCGCAAGGAGACAACTCCCGGACCGCCACGTGGCCGCTGGCGTTCCGGAGACGCGAGACGTGGTCCCGCTTCAAGACTTCCCAAGACTGACCTCAAGCCCCTTCCTGCTTCCCCTTATGACCCCCTGATGCGGAGCCCAGTCCCGCCTCTAGCCACGCCCCTTCTAGAACCTTCCCGATGGTTCCCTGCGAGCACCCCTCAGCTCCGCCCTTGAACTTTGGCCCAGATGATCCCACTCAATCCTGATTGGCTAATGGCTGATGCAGCGGAGCCTATCCCGCCTGTCGGCGACCGTCGGTGTACTCTCTTATTACACACGTACACCAAGCTCTGAAGGGGAATGGATACTCTGACTACACAATCTGCAAAGCCATCACCCCAACCGTGAGGAAGGAGCCATCTGAGGATCCAATCAAAACCATCACCTTGCCATACATAGCAGGAGGAACCAAAAAGATTTCCAAAATCATGACCAAACACAAGATCCATGTCTGATTTAACACATTACATAAAATTCGTGATCTGATCCCATCTGCGAAGGACAAGATCCCCGACATGCAATATCCCGGCGTCTACAAACCAAGCTGTATCTGCAGCAGCAGTTACATTGGGGAAACTAAGCGACATGTCTCGGTCCGTGTTTGTGAGCATAAGGAGATTTGAAACACGGTAGGAGCAATACTTCTGCCGTGGCTGATAATTATTTTAATGCGGCTGGCTCACACGAAATAGATTTCTCTGAGACGAAGGTACTTTGCAAATCGACTGGCTATCAACAATGATTTGTTCATGAAGCCATCCATATATACAGACAGACACAATTTCAACCGAGAAGATGGGTACAAACTCAGCAATCACTGGAAGGACGTTATCAACCATTTCAAGTAATAACTGGCTGTAATGTTTCCATTCTAGACCTGGCAGCCCTTTGATTGGTGGAAGCCCACCACCAGTACCATCATTACCCACTACTACCATCACCGCTAGCAGCAACCTCGACCGTCAACAGTGTGAGAGTGTAAAGCGAGGTGCAATGATTACCTGGAAGCCCTTTAATTGGTGGAAACCCACCACCAGCGCCGTCGTTGCCCACTACTACCATCACTTACATTAAATTAACTGCCCCGCCCATGCTGCTGCCTTTAGAGGCTAACCCTCCTTTTCCTGATGACGACCGCTTGTGTTGCGATCGAAACATCGTGGTTTTTTTTTATTCACTTTATTTTCATTATTTTTCTATTTATGTGACTTTACCGAAAGAACCAAAGAATATAACATACTATCTAGAATCTATTTTCTGATTTATAATGTCCATCCTTTCTGTATTGTGTGTATCATTCTCTCTTTCATTATATGTCCATCTTGTTTGTGTTGTCCACCTCATTCTGCCTGTCTTGTTTGTGGTGGTGTATTTGTATTGTTTGGTTCATCTTCTTTTCATTGGTGGCATGGCAGGTATCCTTAAGCATTGAACATGTTTGGTAATATTGTATTGGCACAATAAGGGTTAGAGAGGTGACCGTCTGCTTGTATTTATGGTTATGCTTTGGAATAATTCTGATCATATAATTTCATTCAAGAAATACAGTCGCTCTGTTACATAATACTGAATGTATATGTTTTAAATATTTACGTGTGATTCTTAGTGGTTGCCAGTGACACTAAGTTACATCTTTCATATGTTTTCTTCCATTTCTGCATGACCTCAGTTGGAAAGCTGACGAAGAATGATTTGAGCGCGCGTGTGAACGGGACTCCAAGGTGCTACATCTGTGGACCACCCCCGATGATTGAATTTGTGTCAGAGACACTTCAGTCACTGGAGTTGCCTCGGGCTGGCATCTTCTATGAGAAGTGGTGGTAGCAGCTCTGGCTTTATTATGCGAGCAATGCAAAGCAAATATCTGGGAGTATATATTGCAGTTCATTTAACTTGTTATAAAATACATGTATTGAATGGGCCCAGTTCATGTGTCATCAGAATGCTGATAAATATCTGGAAATTGTTGTGAAACTTTAAGAGGAAAAGAATGGTGCAGATACTTTGGTCCAAGTGTTCCACAAGAAAATCCATCACTTGAAGAGGCAGCGATTCAGACAGACGAGATCTCCCAGAAACCGAAATGTTCTGCCAGTCTAAACTTATTTAATAATTAAGTCACACTTTAAACAACTTAAAATTGTTAGAAAAAGGAACATTATATATGAACCTGTGGTGTGCAACATCTAATTATTTATGTACATATGTATGTATTTGACTGGGTGTGATATTGTATTCATACATACTGAATACATATATTTTTAAATGGTCGTATAAATTTCGTTACGTATTTTGTATTTATCACTTCACACCCTGGACACCTTTGCAAACAATGTTTCATCTCGAGGGACTATCCAGGTAAAAATGCTTGAATAAAAAAAATAGGTATGCAATCTGGCGGATACCTTAATCTATCTCCACACAAATGTGATGTAAGAACAGGACTGGCTACCATGCTGTTTCACATCTCCAATAACAAGACCGGGATAATTATCTTGGCATTGCCTTATTTGCTTACAGCTCATTATCACATGCAGTGACCAAACATCTTTCATGTTGTTTTATTGAATGAGGGCTCCGTTGGCCCGGCATTGTTCCTTTGTGATTCCAATGTCTCAGATTCCCTGGCCACTCAACCATGTTTACACTCGTCACAAAACACACAAATTGTAGTCGCCATTACTGGAAAGTGCTTAACGTAATTTTGCAAAAATGCGGCAGTATAATTTTCCAGGTTACGATACAATTAAATATATTTGATGATTATGATATCAGTTTACTTTAACATTGTAAATGCATTTCATTTTTACTGCCTTGTTTTGTGTTTTGATGTACTTCAAGTATATATTGCTAAAAAGTTATTCAACAGCAGTTCACTGAGCTTAAGCCGAACAAGTCTTTTATCTATTGAAACTTCACAATATTCTACAATTATAATGCACACGCTGGCAAAAAACAATGTCATATAACCTTTAATTTCTCCAGAAAACATGTTATAAAGTGCTAATTTAATTGATGGTTTTTTTAATATCAACTAATTTCATAAATATTGTCAAATAAAATACTTTAAAAGTATTTATAATCACTGTAACAATATTTTGAGAAATAAGCGTTATGATTATCGTAGAACTTGTATCGTACGATATGTTTTCGTCATACATTGGCAATCTTAGCCATAATATCAATCCATCTATTGTGGATTCTATTTTAGGATAGTGGAACTGATACTGGTCATACCACCTCCCTCAGCCCACATCTCTCGCAACCATAGATTGCAGCATGACCCTATACCCTATGACCCCGTATCATTGGTTGTGTCGGGAGCTTACCCTAATTGGTAACCCGGCTGCCTCGTGAGACAAACTCCCAAAATATATAATCTTCTGGTGGACTAATTACCACCTCCGCAATACAACTACTCCCAAAATATATAATACAATATATAACGAGTGAAAACACGTATCCGCGAGCTGAAATAGATGCCATGACGTCAGCAGCAAAGTGATTCGCGTGATCTAATTCAATAATTCGTTGAATAAGAGTTAATTGGCAACTTAGGTTAAGTGGAATAAGGTGAATCTAACGATTAGTGAAAATAGGCTATTAATGATGTTAAGGTATATTGGATTAATGAAGCTGGAACTTCAATGTTATTATAGTGAAGCCTTAATTTAGTTAATTCATGTCATGGGGATTATCACTCGAGGAATGAGTTATCCTATCACGCGTGGCTGTCTGTCGACGCTCGAGGTGTCTGGGAAACCCGCACCGGCGAACCGGGCAGCCCCTGCTGCCCTGCAGCACCTAAAATATGGCTCTAGGGTTTGGTGTTACATGTTATTTATGTAGTTTATTGTTAAAACCTCGGTCACAGTCCCTATGACCACTGTTACATTGCATTTATGGCTTTTATTTTGGTGATTTCGAAAAAAAAATGGTTTCGGCCATGTTTTTGTTTATTGTAGTACGGAGTTGGAAAGATGGCCTTAATCTTAGTTGTCTTGTAGTTATTTGACTTGCATCCCACTGGGATTTTTGTACACATCGTTCGTGTACGGTGCTATTTCAGGAATATTTTGATGTTTTTTTCCTGGATTTTCTGTTTGCACAGTCACATAATCACTTTAAGATGTTTTCTTGTTCATGTTTTTGATTTTTGTTTGTTGCGGTTGCACCCGATTCAAGAGCCGAATGGCTCACAGGGCAATACCAAATAAATGAAAACTTAACTCAACTCAACGCGCCGGGATGGGGGGGGGGACGATTGGTCACGTGGTGTCGTCTCGCGCTCGACCACGCCCACACACAGCCCCCCAATCACAAGCCCGGATATAGCCCCGCCTCCTCCCGACATTTTTGGGTTTGCCCCGCCCAGGAGACGGCGGGGCTGAGAGGCGGGGCACGGCACAGCGGGGGTTCAGTGCAGCCCGCACGCACGCGCCGCGTGCTCTGTCGGCGCCGCCTGCGCTGCTCCCTCCGTGGCTCTCAGTTGTCGCCCCACGTAAGATTCGCTGTCTCTGCGTCTCCACATTCCTCGTCTGTCTCCACCATTGCTATAGGCTCCACAGATTGCTGCTGTTTGAGTGAGTAGTATACGTGTGTGAGTTAGTCCCCCCCCCACCGCATGGCTGCTGCTGCTTCTTCTGGCGGCAGGGATCTTCACACCGCGCGCTTGGAGGAGTCCGGGATCGCCGCGAAGGGAGCGGCGGCACGTGAGCGGAGCGGCCCCGCTATGGCCGGGGAGGCCGTGACCAACGGGAGATGCGGCCTGCGGGACGGGGCCGCGGCCCCTGCGCAGGGGCGGCCTGCAGCAGGAGGAACAGTGGGGCAGCAGCTGCTACAGCTGGATACCAGGGGACAGCAGCACAGCCCAGTGCCACGCATGGGACAGCTACAGCACATCCCAGTGCCAGGGATGGGACAGCAACACCGCCCAGTGCCAGATATGGGACAGCAACGCAACCCAGTGTTGGCTATGGAACAGCAGCCCCACAGCCCAGTGCCAGAGATAGGACAGCAGCAGAGCCCATCATTTAGAATGGGACATGAACAGGATCCAGGCCTATTAGCTATGAGACGGCAGCACAGTCCAGCACCAGGAATGAGACAGCTCTACAGCTCAGTACCAGGGATAGGACAGCTACACAGCCCAGCACCAGGGATGAGACAGCACAGCCCAGCACCAGCGATGGGACAGCTACACAGCCCATCTCCAGGGATGAGACAGCAGCACAGCCCAATACCAGGGATGGGACAGCAGCACAGCCCAATACCAGGGATGGGACAGCCACACAGCCCAGTACCAGCGATGGGACAGCAGTACAGCCCAATACCAGCGATGGGACAGCTACACAGCCCAGGACCAGGGATGGGACAGCCACACAGCCCAATACCAGGGATGGGACAGCTACACAGCCCAATACCAGGGATGGGACAGCCACACAGTCCAATACCAGGGATGGGACAGCCACACAGCCCAATACCAGGGATGGGACAGCAGCACAGCCCAATACCAGCGATGGGACAGCCACACAGCCAAGTACCAGCGATGGGACAGCCACACAGCCCAATACCAGGGATGGGACAGCAGCACAGCCCAGTACCAGCGATGGGACAGCAGCACAGCCCAATACCAGCGATAGGACAGCAACACAGCCTAGTACCAGGGATGGGACAGCCACACAGCCCAGCACCAGGGATGGGACAGCCACACAGCCCAGTACCAGCGATGGGACAGCAGCACAGCCCAGCACCAGGGATGGGACAGCTACACAGCCCAGTACCAGGGATGGGACATCGGCATAGTCCATCGTATAGAATGGGACAGGACCAGGAGCAAAGCCTTTCATTAGGGACGGGATTGCAGCACATCCCAGTGCCAGAAATTGGACAAGGACTGCAGGTCAGCCCAATTTTTGTTCCGGGACTGAGACAGACAGCCAGTCCGGTTTTAGGAGCAGGGAAAAGACAGCCACCCAGTCCAATATTTGGGACATCGCAAGGACAGCAGAGCAGCGCCTTTTTTGTGACAGGACTGGCTCAGCACACAGACCCACGGTTTGGGGCAACCCAAGGTCAGCGGGGCAATCGAGGACACGAACTCGGGGTGGAAATGCCAGGCGAGGTGGTGGGTGGTCTCGGTCGGAGCAGTCAAGCCGGTCCAGTGCCCTTTGCTGGTGTAGAGCAGCAGCAGCTAAGCCAGGTGTACGTCCAGGTAGCCGGACAGCTTCGTCCTGATGCAGTGTTAGAACCGGATCGTAAACCACAAGCCAACCCAGGTATGGGGCTTGCATCAGGACAGCAGATGGTTCCCACAATGGGATTTGGACTCGGACAACAATCCAGCTCTGTGGTTGATCAAGGATCAGGACATCAGGCCAACAACTCAACCCTTGCAACTGCACTAAGAGAGCAGCCCAGCCCTCTGTTCGAGCAGGGACTGGGCCAGCCATATGGTTCAGTAGTTGGGCCTGCACTCGGACCGGAGCAGTTGTTGCATGGACAGCCTGGATCACAGCACCGGCGCGCAGTCGCAGAGCCGGGCACCATGGGTGCGGTGGGAACGCCGCATGGGAGGAGGACGCTGCCCAGGAAGGCGAGCATAATCAAGGTAGGGCTCTGCCTGAATAACACCGCGGTCAACTAGGTTCAATGGAGCCTCGTTCATTATTCGAATCGTATGTTATTATTTCAAATGCTTGTTTACGCAGGAAAGCCTCACTGAGGCGACTTATTTTAAGGAGGCACCTGCTAAGTTTTCGCAGTAGGTGGCGATTACTTTGCGTTTTCTAATTATCTTAATTTGCTAGTTTTATTTTCTAAATTGGACAAATTTGGACCGTGACTATGGCACACGTGGGACAGCAGCAGAGTCAAATGCCGGCGTCACGCAAGGACAGCGCAGTGGCGTTACGAGATCTTTAACGTCCGCTGTGAAGCAGTCCGGGCGCGTGTATTGCATGGCTAATGGGCCCCGCGTTGCTAAGCTTGGCCACCTTCCGGGGTCGAGCTGCGTAGCTCTGCAACGGGCGGTGGACGTGCAGGCTCCTGTCGCTGCCCTATGACTGTGAAGGGTTCACATTTGATGATGAAATTAATTTCAGAAGTAATTATTATGTAAGTGTAGTCCTTACATTGCGCGACACGTGCATACAAAACGATCTTGAATTAACTACTTACCACGTTCTGTAATTGCGTTTGCAATATTTTACTTTAAAATGTCATTGTTTAGGCGCGGTTTCTATTCGCTCTCCACCAACCGAAACAGAATAGCAAGAATTGCAATTACTGTATTGGTTAAACTGTAGATGAATATCAACCTTTCAGATTTCAATCCGTCACTGGGTCGTGTGTGTTTACAAGTCTTAAGAAAATGTCTCTAAATCGGCCGGAATTAAGAGCATAGTAAATGTTTGGTGTTGAACTTGAGGTTAAGCCTCATTACACGCAATGCCATTACTGGTTGTGTGCGCTAGGTGCTGGAAATGTTGTAGCAGCCACTGCTGCTGCTGATGTTGCCTTTTGCGAGGGAGTGCACGCACAAGGGTCGCCATTCACCACTCAGTGGCGGTGACGTCAGCACGGCGCTTGTGCCAGCCTAGGTGCACCTTGAGGCGACGTGAAGCGTCGAAGGCTCGCTGGCAGGAGGTCACGGAACAGACGCAGGTCTCATGGGTTGATCGACCGAGATGACTGGCAGATGCACCACCTGTGCTCCCTACTGTGCCAACTCGCTGGGTTTTAGGCGCCTGGTACTCTCCTCGTTGTGAGCGTCGCTCCTCTGCTGTACGTTGTTGTTGTTGGAGCGCGACTGCCTCCAACTGCCCAGTAAGCGTCCACGAGCCGCCTCCACAGAGGCCGATCTTGACACCGCTGGTACCGGTCATCGGCAAGTCCACCCAGCTCCACATCGTATCATCAGTCCATCTCTTCTCCAGCCTGTGCCGCGCCTGTTTAGCCCCCTCTATTCGTCCAAACAGAAGCTGCTTGGGCTGGGGTGGGTGGGCGGGCATGCAGGCTACATGACCCAGCCAAAGCAGCCTTGCCTGCCGGAGGAATTGATGGTACTCTGGCCACAGTGTGTGTGTGTCTGGTTTAAACAGATGAAGACCCACGGTATAGCCTTAACAGCCTCTTGGGGAAAGTGATGTTAGCGAGCACTTATGAAAGCGGGCATGGCCAGAACCACGCCCGGCTGCCTTTGTCTCCCTTGTGATATTTACACATCGCACCAGGTACTCAATTTGAGGATCAGTCGACCTAGGGGAGGCCCAGGACTGGTTTAGATAATCATCACCGGTGTTGGCCAAACTCGGGTCAGCAGATTCGTAGTGCAGCACGCTAACCACTGCGTAACCACTCCCCAACGCACAAAGACACATGCGCAGGAACTGAAATTGCCACTGACAGGGGAGTGCACAGACACATATACACAGATCTGCAGACAGACATACATAAAGACACGCGGGTCTGCAGACAGATATGCACAAAGGCGCGCGGACACGCACGCAGAGACGGGCACACGACGCTGGTAAGATGAAGAAAGGAGGTGTCACGTGGTTATAACATCACAAGCCACACTCTTGAAACATTATTTCTGGAAATTATTACTCTCCCTCAAGTAGATTTGGAGCACTGCTAGGCCAAGGGCTGATTAGGGTTCATCATCAAAATGCTTTGTTCTGTTACACCGATGATATTAGATTTATTTAAACAAATATTCCACAAGATAACGGTAATTATTAACATAGTGGTAATGACCTCGCCCAGCTATTGGGCAGCTTGCCCGTGACTAACCACCCTGAGGAAGACCGCAATGTGTGTTGGTGTGGGGATTGCGGGATGCGCTGTTTCTCACCGCAACGCCCACACAGGCACGCGAATATGAGCAACGGCTGTTGCTGCTGCTTGTCATGTGGGGGCTGTTGCCACAGGAACACATGAGCACGTGTGGAGGACACACGCAGAGGTGCCGTGCTGTGAGAATCAATGTGTGCTTGTGTCCTCATCTTATATTTTCACCTCACAAACCAAGGGAGTTTACACATTTTCTTGCCAATAAAAACCTGACACTTTTGTCATCTGGCCTCATGGCCGGCCTGCTCTAGACCAATTCCTCGACCACATAAATTCCATACACCCAGCCATCAGATTTACCATGGAAGTCGAAAAAGATGGCAAGCTACCTTTTTTGGATGTCCTAATAAAAAAGAGACCTGATGGTTCAATGAGCCACTCTGTCTACAGGAAAACTACCCATACGGGTGCTTATCTGAGACCGGATTCCCACCACCATCCATCACAGAAGAATTCTCTCATCAAGACTCTGCACCATAGAGCCCAATGCATATCCGACCAGGAACACATAGGCAGTGAACTCAAGCACGTACACCAAGCTCTCAAGGCGAATGGTTACTCCGACTATACAATCCGCAAAGCTATCACTCAAACCATGAAGAAGGACCCTCTTGAGGAGCCTTTCAAAACCATCACTTGACCCTACATTGCGGGGATCACAAAAAAGATCTCCAAAATCTTGAATAAACACAAGATCCAGGTCCGTTTCAACACATTACATAAAATCCGTGATCTGGTTCCGTCTGTAAAAGATGTGATTCCGGACATACATTACCCTGGTGTCTACAAACTAAGTTGCCTCTGTGGTAGTAGTTACATTGGAGAAACCAAACGACATGTCTCGGACCGCATTCGTGAACACAAAGCAGACCTTAAACACGGTAGGAACAACACCTCGGCCGTGGCAGATCACTGTTATAATTTAGTAGGCTCACATGACGTTGACTTCTCCAAGACAGAGGTTCTTTGCAAGCCATCGGGCTACCATGAGAGATTCGTTCATGAGGCTATCCACATATACAAACACAGAGACAATTTCAACCGAGAAGATGGATTCTGGCTTAGCAATCATTGGAAGGATTTGATAAACCATTTTGGATCTTAATTGATTGTTCACGCTTATGGTGGCTTTCAGACAGCATACATTAATTTTTCGTCTCCCCCCTCCTCTTTTCCGAACATAGATGGACTCATCCTTCTAAACAAACTGTCAAATCGTTATCCGTGGTGCTAACGTTTAAAAATAAATACAAACCGCCACTTCTTTCAAATGTTCTTGCCGTTGGGTTTCACACCTGATGATGACCGTTTGTGTTACAGTCGAAACGTCGTGATAATTTTATTGTTTTATATATTTTATTGTTTCCCTTCAACGTGACTTTACCGAAAGAACCAAGAATATGTACAGTATCTGTTACATAAAAAAAACATGTTTATACGTCATAACCACATGCTGTATAAAGGGCCATGTAGCCGCTGCTACACTTCGATCACGTGTAGTGGGTAACAAATGATAAAATGAGTCTGGCAAGGCGATTCGCTTGCAACCAAGGCTATTCACAGGAAGTTAAGAAGATATTCAAAATTTGTATTGAAGATATAAACACAATTAGAAATTGATGAAATATTTACCATCTCGGATTTTCTGACGATCATAACAGTTGTGTTCAAAATGGTCACTGAACAAATGAAAATATTGTTTGGAGGGACACGACCAATAAACACCATGGAGTGCGTGTGCAGAGCCAATCCACCGCTGGTTACCTTGCCCAGGGGAGGTTAAGTCATGAATCCTCTCGGTTATAACGTAAAGGTGCAGCCTTGCAATTACTTTCGCAGGCCACTGCTGGCCGAAGGTCCTCTACCAGAGAGAAACTGTAGGGGGTATTCTAATATTCCACACTGACCAGACGTCCTGGAAGAGGTGAGTGTACTCGCACATCACCCCACCGCACGCGACGTGCCGATCGACTACCTGTGGTGAACACGTTTGTACTGCTGGCAGGACACAGGCGGTGGGGAGATGGAGGAAACCTGCGTTGATTCAACTGCCGGGAGCTGGAATCGAGCTGACAATCCCAGCTGGCCACTAACCGTTACACCACGGCAGTCCCCTGTATTTTTCATTTAAAAAGAAAATGTTATGGTTGTTGCGAGACATTCTATACCGTTTTTTACTGAGGTTTTTTCCACTTGGGTTGCCGATAATGGAAAAAAAATATTTTTGCGGCACTGATATTCGTGCAGTTCAATCTTTTCCTAGCAACGAGTAAACTGAATGCATTTTGAATCAAGGCAGTTTTTCAAGTTTCTCACTTGAGCAAAGCGCATGTTATTCAGACAACATGGGCTTTAATAACGCACGACTGGAGTGTGTGAGGCTGAGGAGTTTTCCCATTGACACCTTGCTGAAGCAAAACGAGTTTAAGCAAGACCCTAAAGCCATTTATTATTTAACATTCTGATTTAATGTCCCTCATTAATAAGAACATTGTGCCATTATTTATTACTAATTAGATTTCAATCACCTCAAAGGCCACCAGAAAGGGTGATGTGTTAATTGCTTATAAATAGGATTTGAATCTCGCAAATTATCTTAATGACCCATTTTATAAAATTGTAATGTACCACTCCCAACTACATGCTGCCCGGGAGACCCCTTTATCGCATGATAATGTGTTAATCAAATTCCTCATCCTCTACGTAGGGTACGTTTTTGGGCAATATCTTAACGATAAATTATGTGTGTTTACTGTTGTTTGTGTAAGGGTTAGAAAAGCGATTTTAAAACAAAATCCTGGCCAGTATCTTCCAATTTTTCCTCTATCACGCCATTGCACCAGCATTTGGATTGTATAGGCCTTGTGGATGAGTCTCATTGGTTTTAAGAAAAGTTCGAATACCAAAGTTATGGTTACCAGCATTATTGCCGTGTCTGATGGAGGCCTTGCAAGCACTCTGCATTGTTTCCATGACGGCCCCTGGCTGTGTCTGCATCATTAATTCGGGTACATTCATGTGAACTCAAACGCAAATGTTCTAAATACATTTTATTTATTGGTTTCCATATTTAGTTGTTTGACAAGAATCTGTCCCTTGAATGCTATACAGTGCTCATACAATTCAGTATTGCTAAGTCTGTTTTACAAATATATCCACTGTATCATCCTCCCAGCTTACATTATTAAAACAAACTAATGCCATTTGTATTATTTACACTAAAATGGACCTTTAAGAGATTATTTTGGTGGGTTTTCAGCAAAAACAATCCTTGTTAAGAGAGACATTTTATGCTTTTAACCGTTACAATAATTTAAAAGTCCAGATGTGTTTAAGCATTTGTATTGAAAAGATAAACTTTTGTAATACGGTCGACATTGTATTATTAGGAGCGTTTTTCGCGTGATTTCAATCTCATATCTCCAGTCTTGCACTTCTGTATTAATGTCACGGGCACTTGAATAGCATGCAGTGGAAATTAAAATAACATCCCGTTTTACCTGAAAATATATATTTCCACACACAAATATCTGAAAATAAATTATTTTTAAACTGGCTAAAACAGAAAACTATTTCAGACTTGATTATACATTATAGGCAATTAGTTATCGAATGGTTATTATTGTTGCATAACATCACAATTAATATACTGTATAATATATTGTGTTAAAGATTGTAATTTAGTCGTAATGATGTTCTTATAATTAATAATTTAAAGACCTTAATTCACTTCTGGATGAAAGCGTCTCATTGTCTGATTCGGCATGAGTATGTTGACCATACTTCACTCAGCTGGTCACTGGGTTGTTGAAGGGTGTGGGGGGTCACGGCCAGTTCAGATGTGACAAAAGGCCGATAGACTTACACTTTTTATGAATAGATTGGGAATGGAGAATATTTATTAGATTTGTATTACTTGCACTTCTAGATAATCCGGTTGCAAATTTAGTACATGTTTGCTCCATCTCTTTCCACACGTAGGATCAGACTGCATACATTTACAGGGACTTGTAGCCGTATGGTCTAACCACGGTGAACATTACTTATGAGATGTGTTCTTTTTGGGTGCAACCGGAAGTGGCTTATGCCTGGTTATGTTGATAAAATGCATTGTTCATGGGGTGCACATCTCTGCCGATCTGCTGCACATTCATCTTGGAGGATTCAGGGTAAACAGGATGTGTGCTGGCATAGAGATTGGCATTGCTTCGATTAGCACGGTTGACTGTACGGTGCAAAAGAATTTCAGTATACAGTATGTATATACATTGCTGGTTGAGCACAGCATTGAAACGGTTGCTGTTGTGTTGCGGTGGGGTTTTGTAACCTATCTGTCTTGTGAGATGTATTGCTCATGTTATCAAATGCCACTCTACATTGCAACACATTTTCATTACACGATAATTTCGGTTGCATAATCCAACATTTTTTTCTTGTATGCTTTTCATAAATATCACAGTAAATGATGATGATTAAAAAGTCCAGACATAACAGTGAGGTGAGAGACATTCGTACCCATTTGTTCAGTATTTCTGGTTTGGCAACAATCAAATACCTCAATCTTGATTTGAAGCTTTCGTGACTGCCGGAATCAAATACCTCCATTAATCAAATACCTACATTATCAAGCCATTAAACAATTACCTGGGAGTAAACAAATTTGCTTTGCATATTGTCTGTTTTGACGTACCAACAGTCTTATCTTGTGTTATCTGATCTGCAGAGCCGTAATTTATATGGTGCTGTGTGATTGGAATTTTTACTGACACCACCTTTGGCTCAATACAGTTTTCGTAACACAGTGAAGTTTCCCAGTCTTCATCACCTTTTTTACGTTAACCAAAGTATTGCGTCTGTTGAATATACACGAGCCTGGCGTGCGTGCTCAACGCAGCAGCAGGCGTCCCCGTGCTACTTGAGCTCCATGGGAGAGTTTTGTACGTATGTTGAACTTCTTTTGTACCGTACATATTTGAACATGACTGTTCGGTGACGGTGACGCAGCCAGGCGGTAGCTCGTTCGCCACTCGTTGCAGAGGTTGAGCGGTTCGGGTCATGCCGGTCACCCTGGTTATTACTGCAGCTGTATCAATTGAAACATCCACTGTCTGCTAAAAAGTGAACATTAAAGGTCACGTGAATTGACACGCAAGAGTGGGGCATTTTGTGCCTGGTGTCGTGGTCCAGATTTGTCAAATTCGAAAATGACACCACAAATGACTCAATTGGGATGACACGAAGCCAAATCGCCCTCTTCTGCTGCAAAACTGGCTGTGAAACAACGCAGTACCTTCAGGATAGCCTTACGTATACCAAATATACTGAATAATTGTGTGTGTACATTTTCCTTTTCATGTAAATTTCTGATACAAATATGCGTGCTGTGTAAATGTGCTACGAACATTTGAGTGTAGTCCCAACTCTTGTGGCAAAGTGGAGCCCTGCTCGAGTGGCGTGTGTGACGAGGGGATCACAGGACATGTCCAGGGAGTGGGGAAATTGAATATCCTCGATGCATTGTGCACTGTATTGTACTGTACACTGCAGTTTGATAATTGACTACAAGCATACATATCTGTGCACTTAAGGATGTGTACATAGGTAAAGTGTGTATATGTTGAGTTAATTAAACCTACAGGATTGAATCATGTTCATTCTTGTCAGTACCGGCTTGAGCCTAAATTTATTTTCTAAATATGTTGTAGCTACCATTCGGTATTTTATCTTGAAATGGTGGAACAAGAAAGTGTGCATTATGGTTAGATGAAAAAAAACAATTGCCCCCTGTCTGGGATATACAGCTCATCAATTATTAAGTATCCCCTTTATGTACATTGAAGCAACGTGTGTTTGAAAAGCGGGCTAAGTATTTTTAGTGCTCTCTCTTCACTTGGTTGATGAATAACGCACTGGTGGTGTCTCGTCAGGCACTGAAAGAGTAACAATGTTCCGCCTACTCAGGTTAAACACATGCATGCACACAAAGTTTAGGACCACTTGCCCCACTCAACATTTCTTCTTTCAGCAATTGGAACGTAAAGCCAAGTATCTCTACCGCCAACTCATGGACCCATTTTTGGAAAAAATTTGAAGCTTTAGCAATCAAAAATAAAACTGAGCAGGTTACGATTGCTATAGTTGAACTACTTTGTGAGTTTGTGTTTTATACTGATTGTGATATAACCATCGAGACCATGGACACGAGTGTGCGTGTGTGCATCCTCGCCGTGCGAGATGTGTTGTTGTGCTCATCCCGTGCTAGGCAGTGCAGAGGCGGTAGCTGCCGTGTGCAATGAGGGTGGAGGCTGTGGCTGTGCAGCACGGAGATCCTCCTGAAGCTAAGGTCAAAGGCTCCTATTCTAAGTCGTGTCTCAGCTCAGGCCTGGCTCAAGTGAGCCAGCTTGAAGCCACGCCTAACTTTAGCAGGCTCTGAGCACTGATTTCCTTCACCAACTCCATCATACGCAATCCGATTACTGTGCTTACTTCGGCTTGAGTCAGCTCTGAGCATGGTCCCAGCCCTGGGTCTCAAGACCCTGAGCTTCTGTGTGACACCGTGTCTCCCCGTGTGTCACCGTCTCTCCCCATTTATCTATCTCAAGACTCAGAAACTAAGTAGATCTCAGAAGCTAAGCTGCACTGAGCCTGGATAGTTCTTGCATGGGTGACCACCATGCACAAAACAGGTGTTATAGGCTGCAGGGCTACAATGTGGCTACAATATATGGATTTGAACAACATTGTGTACCTATTACACAGATGTACCATCATATTTACCATGGCATGTACTCGTCAGTCTCTTACAGGCTTGACGATATTGGCGTGTTAAGCACGTAACGTATTTCACCGGTCTGCATGTTTGTTTCAGGATACTTCACGGCAGAAGCAGCCCGAGCGGAAGAAGACCGTGTCGTTTAGCAGCATGCCTACAGAGAAGAAGATCAGCAGTGCCGGCGACTGCGTCAGCCTCATGCAAGAGGGCTCCGAACTGAAAAAGGTCAGGTCAAATTCCCGCATCTATCAGCGCCTCTTCTTGCTGGAGTCAGATTTGCAGCACCTGCGTTGGGAGCCGTCCAAGAAAGACCTTGACAAAGCTCGCCTGGAGGTGCGATCCATAAAGGAGGTGCGTGCTGGGAAAAACACGGACATCTTCCGCAGTAACGGGATATCTGAGCAGGTTTCTGAAGACTGCGCCTTCTCCATTATCTACGGAGAGAGCTACGAGTCACTGGATTTGGTTGCAAACTCGGCTGATGTTGCGAGCGCATGGGTGACGGGGCTGCGCTACTTGTTGTCGTGCAGCGGTAGGCAGGACATCTCTGCCTCGATACATTTTGGACAGAACAGCCTGCGCAGTTGTTGGCTGCAGGCAGAATTTAAATGCACAGTCACAGAAGACGCAGGATACCTTTCAGAGGCCGGTGCAGTGGAATTGATTCATAAGCTACACCCAGGATTAAGGAATTCGTATGTTAAACTGAAGCTGAAGGAAGTGCTAAAAAATAACGATCGTCCAGATGACATTATTGGCCTCACAGTGGCAAATTTCATTGACGTTTTCAACGTATTAGCAACACGACCCGAAGTTTACTTCCTGCTTGTGCAGTTTTCCAGTAACAAAGAGTACCTGGATGTCAAAGACCTCTCTCTATTTCTGGATACAGAACAGGGAATGGCACAGGTTTCGGAGGAGGTGAGCCTAGACATCATCCGTCGATACGAACCCTCGCAGGAAGGCCGAGCCGCCGGCTGCTTGGGTATCGATGGCTTCACGCGGTACCTGCTATCCCCCGAGTGCCACGTCTTTGACCCCGATCACCGGCACGTGTGCCAGGACATGACTCAGCCCCTCTCCCATTACTACGTTCACGCCTCGCACAACACCTACCTGGTGGAAGACCAGTTCCGTGGCCCCAGTGATGTCGGGGGCTTCATCCGGGCCCTGCGGCTAGGCTGCCGCTCCGTGGAGCTGGATGTGTGGGATGGTCCTGAGAAGGAGCCTCTGGTCTTCAATGGCCACACCATGACGTCCCCTATCACTTTCCGGGCGGCTCTGGACGCTATTGGCAAGCATGCCTTTGCAGTGTCGGAGTACCCTCTGGTGCTGTGCTTGGAGACGCACTGCTGCCCGGCCCAGCAGCGCACTATGGTGCGCCATATCAAAGAGGTGAGACCGACTGCAGGGTGTTGTTTACATTTACGCTTGTGTTTTCCCTCGAGTTTATATTAAGAGGAGATCTTAGTCACATGTCGGAAAAAAAGAGTTATGACCACACTGTGCTTGTGTTTTGCTTTCGTTTCACGTTGTCGAGGTTTCGTGGGACAAATCATGTGGGAATCCATGTTTTACCATGGACGGCAGCGAATATGCAAGGTTTGCTGGGAGGACTGGGCCAGTGGTCACAGTGGTCACCTGCTTCTGTCTAGAATTCACCGGTTGCCTCTTATTCCGCCTCGATTCGGTAGAGGGAGCGGCACGCAGTCGGAAGGTCGAACGTTCAAATCTTTGTCGCGGGTTGACTCGGCACATCATCCCTCGAGGGTTCATAAAATAACTATCACTTTATGGAGAAGTCAGCAATGCTTGTCATGGATAGACTTGCCCTGCCATAGGAATGCAGAATTTCCAGCACTGACTCGGCTATAAGTGGGAGATGAACACCAGCTCAATGCTCATATGTTCCAGCACTTGCTCTTCTCTGACCGTACCAGGGGAATGACGGGCAAGGCTGCAGGAATTGGACCTTTACATGAAAAATGTCTCTGGCACGGGCATGCTGATCACATGGCTAACCTGCCATTGAAATTATCTACTTATTTATTGTAGCTACGTGAACAAGTAAATGGTTGCAACTTCCAGATGTGAGATGTTTAATAATTGAGTGGCTGTTGACTGTATGTTGCAGGTACTGAAAGAGAAGCTATACACGGAGCCAGCCGTCGCGTCGTGCGCACACCTTCCCTCCCCGGAGAGCCTCCGCGGGCGAATTCTCATTAAGGGCCGGAAACTGCCGCCCACTTGCCAGGAGTGCGAGGGCGATGTGAGCGAGGAGGACGAGGCAGCGCAGATTGGGCAGCAGCACTGCGAGCCCGAGCAGGCACGCAGGCTCACGCTCACACGGGAGCTCTCCGACTTGGCGTCTCTCTGCCAGTCTGTCCGCTTCCGCGACTTTGATGTGGCTCTTCAAAGCCAGAAATACTGGGAAATAAGTTCGTTCAGCGAGCTGCAGGCTGGTCGACTTATAAGCGAGAGGTCGGAGGACTTCCTGAGTTATAATAAGAGGTTTCTTTCCCGCGTGTACCCAAGCCCCATGCGATTGGACTCGAGCAACGTTAACCCGCTGGATTTCTGGAAGTGTGGCTGCCAGCTGGTGGGGCTCAACCTCCAAACACCGGGGCTCATGCTGGACCTTAACGTTGGCTGGTTTCAGCAGAATGGTGGCTGCGGCTACGTGCTGCGGCCTGCAATCATGCGTGAAGCCGTTTCATATTTCCGTGCCAACACCCATGAAAGCTTCCCTGGCCTCTGTCCTCAGATGCTGCACCTCCGCATCATTAGTGGGCAAAATCTCCCCAAGCCCAAAGGCTCGGGTGCCAAGGGGGAAGTGCTGGACCCCTACGTGGCAGCTGAGATTCACGGCATTCCAGCTGACTGTGCGGAGCAGAGAACCAAGACTGTATACCACGATGGAGACCACCCGATATTCGAGGAGAGCTTTGAGTTCCAGCTCCACTTGCCAGAGCTGGCTCTGCTACGATTGGTGGTACTGGACGACGACTACATAGGAGACGAATTCATTGGTCAGTACACCATCCCCTTGGAGTGCCTCCAGCCCGGATACCGTCACGTGCCGCTCCTCTCCCTTACGGGCGAGCTCTTGACCCACGCGTCCATTTTCATCCACGTGGCCGTGACCAACCGCCGCGGAGGGGGCAAGCCTCCGAAGCGGGGGCTGTCTGTGATGCGGGGCCGCCGCACCCACAAATATGTCACCATGCGCACCGTTGGCATCAAGGTGGTGGACGAGGTGTTCCGCGTAGCGACGCAGCCGCTGCGCGACGCCGCTGACCTGCGGGAGAACTCGCAGGTAATGGTTGGTTGAATGCTCAATGTGTCGGTACATTACATCAGAGGCAGATATGTATGTTGAACTTCTTTCACACCATACGTAGCCAACCATGCTAATCGGTGGTACGGGATAAATGCATTTACACAATTTAGCAGAGAATGTATCTCCTTAAAATATCTGTCCACATGAAAAATAAAACTATGGAAACTTTCCAAGGGTGGAGTGGTCTAAGCCATTTAAACAGGGCCCTACATTAATGAAAACAATGTGTTTTGTCTGGTAAATATAAATAAAATACCAATTTCCAGGGTCTCAGGGTTGGGGGGGCAACACCAGGTGAGTCCTCAAGAGACCAGTCGCCATGGTCACCGACCTGACGGTGCACGTATTCACAGTTGATGTACCGCAGTGTGAATCAGGCGGCTGCCGGATTCACACCGAGAACCTCTGCAACAAGCAGCGGATGCGCTGCTGCTGGGTCTCATCACCGCCGTTGTAGGGAAGGGATGATCACCGTGTGGACTTTTGTCCCAGGTACAAAGAGTAAAAAGCGTGCAGCCTATAGGTGCACAAATTCGCAATGTGCATACTGGTGCGGATGTGTTCAGATGAGTGCTAAGTGAATCGTTTATCATTAATAAATATTTACATGTAGTCAAAAACTGGAGTTCCCAGAGGAAACGTATATACTTTATTTATTTAATAGTCACCACGGTGGTGTGATGTCTTCTTCCTCGCCTGGTACGTAGGAGGTCGAGAGTTTGATCCCAACCCTGACACCTGTATATTTAGGGTTTGCATGTACTCCCCGTGGTCACGTGGATTTTTTTCTCCGGGTCCTCTGGATTTTCCCTCCACATTTAGAAACATGCATTTCGACTATTTAGATCATTGTTCTGCTATAAATATCCAAATGAAAAGCCACTTTGTCGAGCTATCATTTGTGGCCAGGTCGATTTTGAAAATAATGTAATAACTCAGTGGGCTTTATCTGATACGATATTGATAGTTTATTTTTATGTGTTTGGGTGGTTTTATTACCTTTCTTGTACCTTGCACTCCTATCTTTTTTGTATTTTTTTGTTGTGGTAACGTTCTGATCCGCCCCTACTGGACATCTGTAAAAAAAGAGCTTTATAGCTCATCGGATTCCTCCAGTCTTAATAAATATTCGGATTCTGAAATGAACGTACGGTGCAAATAGCCAAAACTCAAACTCTGCACAGATGGATCATGACCCTATCTATTATTTAACTGTACGTGCGGTGTGCGCATGTGCAGTGCGCATGTGCTTACGCGGCCGTAGATGATCACGTGCCTGGGCCGTTTGCGCATCTTCAGGTGGCAGTTCTGGCTTTCAAGGAGGTGTGTGGTCTCCCTCCGGTTGCCAACCTTGCCCAGTGCATGCTGGTGCTGTGCTCACGGCTGCTCAACACTGACGGGACTCCCCAGGTGGGACTGGTACTGCGTGACCAGATGCCGTGCCTGGACGTTCAGGGCGCCCTCCCCGACGTGCTCAAGAAGGGCGTGGTTCTCTATGACACGGTGAGGCCACAGCCTGCAGCTGGTATCGCTCCTCTACAGACTGTCGCCAAACACAAAAACAACACAGCCAAAGTTACTTCTGGATCAATTGATCATTGAAGGATTGGTGCTTATCGTCCCGTTTTTCAGCCCTGAGCCAGTGGTGTAAATTCTACATTCCTATGGTGTGGGTTGTGAGTTTAGCCATAGGGCACCCTCGGATCACTTCCCTACAGAGTGGTGTTCATTTTCTCTGTCCCAGAGGGATGATGGCCTCAGTCAACTCCAACCAGGATTTGACTTCTCAAGCTTCCGCATATTAAACACTCTTCCGCTGAGCCCCATGGCCAGTTCCTGTCCACTCCGTACACTCACTCTGCACACACTGTACACTCTGCATGTCCACTCCGTTCACGCATCCTGCACACTCTGTACAATCTGTACAATCTGTACACTCTGCCTGTCCACTCGGAACACTCTGATTCAACACCCTTATGATGGTGTGGGACTGAAACTCGTTGCTATCAGAGATAAATGCAATGAGCAGTGTAAATCGTGGGGGTAAAAAGTTAAATATGGAAAGCAGGCATATACAATATTTAGTTTGTAATACCTCGTTTATAATGTTTTGAAACATATTGTAGGGTTTGTAACGGTGTGTAACAATAATGCTTGTGTACAAGGCACAAGTGCCGGCCATCCAGAGCTCCCAGCGTGTCACGAAAACATTGCCATTAAGTTGTACATTTGTCATATTCAGTGTTCGCATTGAGATTATTCACAGCACTATCGCGCTCAAGTTACGTTTTACATTCTAACCTCCACGTTCCTTCTGCAAAACTAATACCGAGTAAGCGTGAAAAGCGTATTGATTGCTTCTTCTGAGGAAACTGTACAACACGGTGTGATGGTGCTGACTCAAAATCAGAATATCATGAGTTCAAATTCCTCCTACATTTGACTTGGGCCCACATCCCTCTGGCGTCTATGAAATGAGGAACTCTTTGTCACAAGATTATGGCGAGACTGGTCTCCACCGTAGGAATGTGTCATTAATAAAAAGAGCAAGTCAAGAGCCGTCATCTTATGGACAGACTGGCCTCGCCCTCGGGACATGTAATTTCCCCCATTGGCTCAGGGCTGCCAATGGAGAACAGCTGGTGGTCCATTGCCCAGGAACGACAATGATCTCAAATGAAGGAATGATCCCCTCATGGCCGTTCTGTTGCTTTTCGTAGAGAAACGTTGCTCGCCCCAGTTGTGGAGAATGGTGCCAGAACATCACACACCAGCATGGCGCACCACATGCAACAGTTTTCAACTTTACTCTTATACTAAATCTTAAAGTCACAACTGGAAATATAGGTGTGAGAGTGTTCAATATGTAAAGAATCACAAATTATATTTAAGAGACATAAGAGATTAATTCTCCACATAGTCACCCTTTATTAACACACTCTTGGTTCCAGAAGTGGCCCACAAGCTTCCTAATGGAAGCAGCGTAGAAGTCGTTGTGACTGGCGTCGCTGCCTTCCCAGCGCCATCACGATCGACCTGCCTTCCACGTAGAGCTTCTCTCAAAGGTCTACAAGGTAGACGTCGATAGAGGCTGGATCTGGGCTGCGTGCCAGATGGTGCAGAAGATAGTATCCTAACTTTCCCAACATTTCCGTAGTTGCACTTGCCATGTCATGCTGATACACCACTGGCTGTCTCTCTCTCAACACTCCACGGTGTTTCTGACAAAAGTCAAGCTTCAGTTTGTTCTCCCAAGTCGAAATATGAAGCACTAGTGACTTTTGCTCTTCCTAAAAGACAATTATTGGACCCTGCATGTCTCAAACTATTGAGTAATTTTCTGACAGAAGGGTTGGACAAATTAAATTGCCACTTGTACAAGCGTTTAACGCACAAATTATTGTATTTTCGGCTCACTCACCGGTAGGCAGAAGAATAATTCTCACAGCCAGACATGGCAACTAGATCTGGAATTTCGCTTGAAACTACATCAAGCATCTACGGGTCAGAACCCAGGAAGTTGGATTCTGACCTGAAGATGCTGACGTGACAATTTGGTTATGTTGAGTGGTGAAGGGTTTAACAACATAAATTTGTCCAAAATATATATTACGGATTGTCATTTATGATTGCGAAAACATACGTGTTAAATGTTTCGTTTTTCTAGATCCCTTCATTTGCATAAGTGTGTGGTAGATTGTGTGCTCTGCACCTCAAGGTCCACCGAACCTGGCACAGGCACTGTAATGACGGGACCACCACTGAGTGGCGAACGACGGCTGTTGTTGCTGTTGTTGTTGCTGTGCGCCCGCTGTGACATGCGAGCAGATGATACAGGAATTGCGGACGCTTGTGGAGAGTGCAGACGCCATCCACGGCAAGATCACACAGTGCCAAAAGTCAGGTGAGGAGCTTCGGTAGAGCCTCGACCCACTGGGGGCGCCTCGGCTGAGCGAGGTGCGAGCACCGGCCTCTCTCGTCTGGCAGACAACAGCGACTGCTGAGAAGGGGGCACCCATGCTTTATCTAAAAACAGACAGGCACGCACCGTATGATATTGCATTGTTTACAGTATTTCATTGCGTGTGGTATTTTATTGTCAATTGTACTGTGCATTGCATTGTATTCGCTATTGTATTGTGTACAGTATTGTATTAAGTGTAGTGTAATGTTTTGTATAAAGAGAGGAGCCTTCTGCAAGAACATTCTATTTGAGAGGAGAAAATATTTGTGCAAACATGTTTTGTGATTGCTTGAATGGATCTTTAAAACATTGGTATTAACTGATCTGTGTAGAAACACAAATAGAGTTGAACTTCATTTAGAGCTACTGGTATCATCGAATGGAGTTCATGTAAAATATCACACTGTTGTTGCTGTTACAGCCCAGTGTCAGCAGCTACAAAAGCAGTTTCATTATGTACTGTTTTTGCATAATTAGCCTCGGATAGCATCAGTTTAAACGAATAACTATTCGGGTAGTTTTTTTTTTACATTTTTACAGAATAATTCTAAGAGTGGTGCCACATACACCGCTTGATGTTTGTGCTTGTCGGTGGATGCTGGAAAGGTGTTTCTTTCTGGTGTCTTGAATGCGAAGGTCTGGAACTTCATGAAGATCTGAGCAGCCTGGGCACCAGAGAGGGACTCAAGGGCCGCAAGCTGGCCAAGGCGATTGAGAGCTTCACCTGGAACGTTACCCTGCTCAAGGTAGCACGCTCGCTTGCACCTTTCCTACTCATATCGTTGGTGTTGTTCCGCTTGGTTACCCAGGAAAGCCTCACTCAGTCTCGAGACTTTTTTCAGGAGGTAATGTTTCATTACATTGCAGGTAATGTTTCATGAAAGGAATCAAGTCTGATATTTAATACCATATATTTTATTCGTAAGATATGCTGTGAGAGGTCATTGATTTTCCAGAAATTGTATTTGTGCCTCTGCTCATTTCACTAATAGTTTCTGTAAAATAATGGAGTTGTTTGTATAATTGTACAATAGCGTAGCCAATCCAGCAGGAGGCACAATACTCATTGTGGTTCGCATGTGGTAATGATTTTTTACTTGCGTCAAAGGTCATGCATAGGTTAAATGCATTTCCATATATCCGTAGTTTCTTAACGTCATTATCAGCATCCGAGAGCCTGGAGGCTGATTGGAGCCTAACGGTGTTAAGTCTCACGTAACACACACATATATCAAACACAATGCTTTTAGTCACAGGGATTAGCGTGACTAATCTTAGAGGCCTCACACAAGACCAATCGTAAGTTTGCTCACTGAATTATCACTCTGATACCCCCTTTGAATAAAAAAAATTCACGGAGAGCTGGCAAAATTTGAAATCCTTGGAGGCTGTACTTGTGGTTCTTCTCTCTGTGTAGTAACCGCCAGACCTCGGCTACAATTGTATCGGTTTGAACCGTGCCGTCTATCAGGGCCAGTGGTGGAGAGCTGTTGCATTATGTTGCAGCAGTGGCTAATTTAATCCCATTGGGAGCTCACAGGCGATCATGGGCTTGGCGACGGGAAGATCTGCGATTCCAATATAATTACTTTGAGAAATGTTGTGGTTATCAAGCTTAGTCTTGCTTTTATTTTTTGTTGAGTGTTTGCAAGCACGATCTTCTGTGGTTGTGAAGCTGTAGCTGACAGGCGGGTGCCGGCTCACAGTGCAGCAGGCCCAGGTGGAGGATAATATTGGTGCCAGCAGCTACAGTCGGCAGCTGTAGAGGAGTGCGCAGCTGTGAATTTTTTTTGGAGACGTTCTGTGAAAATCTATTCTGTGACACATGCAGCATGCTGCTCTGTGAGATTTCCAACTGAATTTTTAATCTCATGATGCCGATTCCGATAGAAGCGGAAGAAATGGAGAGCATGGCCTGTCATCAGACATTCATTGATATGCTACAAAAGTGACATTGAATCTTTGTCTGGATTCTGATGAGCTTTGTGTCTCTGCAGGGTCAGGCAGATCTCCTCCGGCAGGCCAAGGGCGAGTGCATAGAGAATATCCGGCAGGTGCACAATGCCGCCATCTCCTGTGGGCTCGATAAAAATGCAGGCATTGCAGCAGTTTCCGAGATTGGCTCAACCAAGAAGGAAGAGCGGCCACTCCTCACTGGCTTGCAGCAGCAACCCCAAGAGGAGAGGACATTCTCCACCCCTGTACCCAGGCAGCAAGGCACACTAGTAACAACAATCACTGGCATAACTGCAACAGAAGCAGCTGCCTCAACACACGCTCTGAATAAACCAAAGTCGTGTTCTCCATCCTTGGCCAGAGATGACCGTGCATGTTTTCAAGTTGACCGTGCATCACCCGATATCGGTAGCACGTTTGCCAGTGCGTCGGCGAGTACTTCGTTGTGCCCAGAGAGCAGCGCACCACAACAGTTGCAGGAAACCTCTTACCGGAACTCGACGGTTTCAGTCTCATTTAATGATGGGTTTCCTACTGAGCCATCCATAGTGCAGCAAGGCGTTACCGTTGATTCCCTTGCAAAAATAAACAATTCAATATGCATCGGTTCATTTCTCACCCAAACCCCTGTGGAGCATGGCTCCAGCATTGAGAGGGCATTGCTCGCAGACAGCGGCAGCTTTGAGATGAGCAGACAAATCCACTGTCCGTCCGTGCTGGGGAGTTTCCCGGACAGGGCACTCTATGATAGTTTGGAAGTGAACCGAGAAATTACCGAGAAGTTGAATTTGGATAATTTGTGACGTCCAGGAAATCTATATCGTACTTGTCTTAGCTGCGTCGCAGGAAAAATTAGTGGTCATAAATATGCCTCCTGGGCCATCTATTCTGTAACATATCCATGTGAAATGTTTACTAAAATGTGTTCCTTAGATAGACTTGTACATCTAAAAATATATCTCAGCAATAGATGACATGCACAAGCGATGAGGTGCGCATCAAGAGGAGCATTGCTGGATGGTGCATGCTTGTAATCGTGCTAGATTACTGATGTGTTGGATATCATCCGTGAATCGGTGTAAGTGGTTTCACTTGTTCAGATGGCTGTTAGACTTGTACAAAGTTATGTTTTTCCCGACTATTGAATATCCCGAAAGCATCAAGCGTTAAATTGTAAGATAATTGAGCACTTTCAGAACAGTACCAAAACGTTTCCACATTGAAGCTGTGTGCATGCAACGTTGCGCCACTGACTTTTTTTACATTCACTGCTCTGTTTGAGTTTGCTATGTTTGAGCCATCTGGACAGATTATTCAGTGTTTACATACTAAACTGTAGTCATGGTAATATTTTAAGACTGGAAAAGAGGATATGTCATGTATTTTGGTTATTTCGCTTTCTTTTCTCGGTTGTGAAATCGTCTGCTGATGCCGACGTTCTCCCCAACATCCAGGCCGCGCGTCTTATTGCACACCGATGCTGGGGAATGTCCAACTCCCTATGGGGCTTCAAAGTTACTAACTATAGGATGGTGCTATGGTGTGCAGCTGCGTGTGCTTGGCACACATCTGTCCAATCAGCTGTCAGAACTGGGCCTCGATAAATATACAGTATGATCACAAAATGCATACCTTTTGTTACCATTTCATAGACGAAGACTCGGAAGGGTTAGCTGAGACTTAATCCATTGATCTCAATGCTTCTGACTCGGTACCCTAACACGGCAATTCGTATTACCGTTAAACCAACAGGTAACCTTTATAATGTGTTCACATTAAGCGTGCATCTTCTTGCCAAACCAATACCGTTGGGATTGCGTGCAGAGTGGGTAATCTGCTGAGCTCTGATTTACGTGCCAGAGGTAAACGCATCCTGGAAGTTGTTGCACAGGCTTCATCTCTGCGGCTCGGGATGTCTCTGCTGAGCGAACGCAGGGCTTCAGAAGGCGGCGGCGTCAGCTTAAGACCACACCATGTCACCGTGTTATACCATCGCCTCACAAAACTCTGTTCTTGTGCACTTGGTAAGTCCCAACTGTAGTTGAAAAACATATCAATGGGTTATAAATGAAATCCAATGTTTAAATTCATCATGAGTATCTCTTCTAGTGGTCTCCTCTGCAAACGACCCTTCCCTGCTGTACGTGTAGCTTCACAGAGTACGTATGGAGAGGTGTTTTGGTCACGGGCACGGTTTGCTTTGTTCTTTCAACATAGACCATTTAAACTGTTGAACAGGAAATCTTTCTGGGCGGTACCAAAAGACAGCACGTTGACCCCTCCTGGTGCCCCCCGTAAATTCAGCAGTCGCGCATCCTCGCATCGCCCACCAGTGCATGCCCATGGTGTACTCGTGCCTCGCTCTGTCAGTTAATGTCACTAAATTGTCATGTTTTGCCAAGAATGTAAACATTCGTAATGGTTATAAACAGTATATTTTTGTTTAAATAGTTCAAGAGGAGGTCGTAAACAATTATAAATGATAAATGCCAAAAGTATTACTACTATTTTCTTAAATATATTTTGACTTTATTTAACATGATTGTGGTCAAACATTTTTTTTTATAAAATTGACCATTGGTACCATTTCCTCTAGGCTAATGAAAAGGAAAGTAACTACAGTTTTAAAAATGAATTAATAGTTCTTCCAGTTAAAATGTTTGTTCTGTTTATATACACTGAAATGTAAATCAGTAGCCTGTCATTTAAATGTTTGATTGAAATATTGCAATATTTTCTTTAGCAATATGTTTCATCTCTGCGTTTGTGTTAATTTTTTTAACAGTGCAATAGTATGGGGAGTTATTTAATGGAAATATTCTTCTCTCTGATCTAAGCCTTTGTTTAAAAAAAGTATGCTTTTACGTGATTTTAAAGTACACATTTTCCACCGCCATATTTAACTTGTCTTTGCTAATTCATAAGCGCTGTCGATCACATTAAGAGCTGATTATGGTGAGGTGGTCGTCTGTCGGAGATCACGTGCTCATCAGCTTATAATATTTTCCATCAAGATCAATCCTGGGTCCATTTACAGATGCTTACGGTTCATGATAAATTTTGCTCGGTGTATTTGGAAAACAACGGTTACGTATAGAGAATTATTTTATTTTAACGTAAATCCAAGACTTGTTTAAACGTAGGATGTTGGACTGAGATGCGGACATTCTGACAGCAGCGCCTGAAGGTGGCGCTCCAGAGCGTCCCCGTGACACGACGGGTGCCGTGGGATGCCCCGCACAGGGAGCACCTCTCGACGCGTCGTGGTGGCCACCACAGTCCTTCCCCCGATCCCCTGCCACCCTCTCTAACTGCCCTCTTGTTTAAATGTTGGTTGCTCCTGAATTTGCTGAACTCAAAATACTTAACATAGAAACCAGTCTGCTATGTAAGGGATCTGTTACTTTCCCATATCTCTTGATTAAATAACCTGAGCTAAATTGGTGTTCTAAAAACCTGACTGGTCGTGGGCAGTGTTGTTAAAATACAGAAGGACTCATCTATTTTATTCTTGCCTAAACAAACATATATATGGAACGGCAGTGGTGTGCAGGTACAAATAGAAACACCACATTCGTCATAAACAAACCCTGCTTTATCATAGAGAATATATCTGGCTGAATTTCAGGCAATGGGCTTTAGAGCTGAGATGGCAAAGAGATGCATTGACTCGGCACATTTGAGGTGACAACCTCCCTCAACATCTTGCCAGGCTTAGCAATTGTATAGTCTCATTCCATCTCTCGTCTCTTTATATCACCTTGCATGTAGTTTCAGTCCATGATTTCAGTTTATAGGATCGTTCCTCTTGAGTACAAAGCCTTTCAGGTCTTTTAATCTGTTCATATATTAATATAAAAAGGTTGCTAATTTCTTGCGACACATTTTGCCCTTCCGTGCTGAGACCGTGTCTCGAGTTGATTGAGTGTTGACTGCGAATTGTTCTGAAACGTGGTGCGGACTCTATTGTTGCAACATGTTGCTATGAACGTATGACATTATTACAGGTTACCTTTCAGTTTAAATGGATACAAGAACATTCATTTGGACAGATTAAAGCCAAAAAGGTAGAATTTGAATATGAAATGTTGCTTTTTATTTATTTACTAAAATTACATGTAGTGTAAAAGGTTTACACAACATGACGTTGCTGTGTAGCACTGCGAGTTTATTGTGGAACCATTGAGACTGGACACATTGCAATTAAAACCACGGACAACACATTTCTGTATGTTTACCACTCCGTCATTGTTTTGGGGCATAATTTTATTGTACATGTGCTTTACAAATAAAAAAATGTTGGCTAGGTAACATTATTTGATAAATATTCTTATTTTTGTCGGGTTTATTCCAATTTTAACTTTGTGTAAAATGTATTGCATAAAATATATTTTTTTTCTTAAAGTAACAGCTGTTTATAATAAAATATTGCCAAATTAATTGTTTAAACGTGTAATTAAATGTGTATTGAAGACCGCTCATGCTTTGTGTGCCAACTTGTTAATTAAGAATAACCAACCTGTAAATATTATTATGGAAATAAATTAATGCAGTCATCTTGTTATTTTTTAAAATGTATTTTTGCATTTCAAGTTGTATAGGTGCCTAGACAGATCCTGAAAGTCCCATTGTACAGTGTTACATTGTTTTTCATAACAAAAAGTCACCTGGACACATTTGAATATTTTTAGGTCACTTCTCTAGTTTTCAAGAGCCGCACCATCAAAGTTTGAACTCGGCATGCTGTTCCACCAGATGCTGCTGTCCTCTGTTTGCCATCTTGAGTCGGTTGCCGCCCGTCTTATGCCGGTCCCACTTGGCTTGCTGGCTAATGTCCCTGTTTAGGAAAAATCGGGCCAACTCGCATTGCCAGTCCTATGTAAATGAGGTATGAGTGGTAAATAGGACCGTTATATGGACCAATCATGAACACCTACCATAAAACGAAAATCTGTTTAATTGCATTTTTGGATGTTTATTTCATTTTAGTGAGATGCACGATTGTCACACAAATGTTTCCCACAAACATTTGACCAAAATGCTAACCACAACTACACTGTACAAAATGGGACATGGCTAAAACAATGTCGACTGGTAATATGAATTTTACATTGGCCATCTTGTGTTTAACAATGGTTCGGTCACTTTTAACTGTGTAAACATAATGTGTGAAATTTACTTCTACATTATGGTTTGTTTTACGTGACTTCCGGCGATTGAGTACTGCGCTAGAGTAATGTGCAGCACATGATTGCATTTTGAACTCCGCTCAGGTTAGCTAATTATGCAAAACATTGGAAAATCACCAAGTCTCTTGCAAGCCATGCCCAAGAGTGGGCATACATTGTGATAGCGGTTGTGTTCAAAAGTCATTCGCTTCATCCTGGCATTCTAACATAAGTGTTAGAGGTCATTATGGTAGGAGTGAGGAAAAATGTGGTTACCCCAGTATATAGAATAGTGCAAGTCCTGCGCTTTATTTCTGACTCGGGCGTCTTTCTGCGTGGACTTTTCATGTTCTCCATCTCTTCTTCGTGGGTTTCCTCTGGGTTCTTTGGATTGTCTCCTGGCTAAAAAAGCATGCACAATGCTACTAGTTTTGGGTAAGTTTCCCACTGCCGAATAAATACCTGCAAATTGGGATCACACAGAAATATCGCCCCTTCCTGCAATGAGGCATTCCTGGGTAAACAAGCATAATAAATAAATAATACATGCGGTATGTTGCATAACTGTTGTAGAACTTTGAACCCACCAATACTCGGTTCTTTAACCTTGCAGCCTAATGAAGTTGCAGTAGCGCTTGCAGGGTGTTCAAACATTTCCAATGAAAATTTTTATTTTGTGTTTGATTTGTGCAGCTGATGGATGGAAATTACGCTATTAGCATTCTTTAGTCTGCCAAATCCTCGTGTTCAGTATCGGATATTCTGAGAGAGTGAAAGGCCAAGGTACAATTGCGTCATGCGTTTAACAGCAGGGTGATGCTACCACGGTGGGCCTCGTTTGCATCTTCCTTTACCGCGGTGACACGAACATAAACCACTGTTTCAGTGAGGGAAAAAAGTATTTGATCCCCTGCTGATTTTGTACGTTTGCCCACTGACAAAGAAATGATCAGTCTATAATTTTAATGGTAGGTTTATTTGAACAGTGAGAGACAGAATAACAAAAAAAAATCCAGAAAAACGCATGTCAAAAATGTTATAAATTGATTTGCATTTTAATGAGGGAAATAAGTATTTGACCCCTCTGCAAAACATGACTTAGTACTTGGTGGCAAAACCCTTGTTGGCAATCACAGAGGTCAGATGTTTCTTGTAGTTGGCCACCAGGTGTGCACACATCTCAGGAGGGATTTTGTTCCACTCCTCTTTGCAGATCTTCTCCAAGTCATTAATGTTTCGAGGCTGACGTTTGGCAACTCGAACCTTCCGCTCCCTCCACAGATTTTCTATGGGATTAAGGTCTGGAGACTGGCTAGGCCACTCCAGGACCTTAATGTGCTTCTTCTTGAGCCACTCCTTTGTTGCCTTGGCCGTGTGTTTTGGGTCATTGTCATGCTGGAATACCCATCCACGACCCATTTTCAATGCCCTGGCTGAGGGAAGGAGATTCTCACCCAAGATTTGATGGTACATGGCCCCGTCCATCGTCCCTTTGATGTGGTGAAGTTGTCCTGTCCCATTAGCAGAAAAACACCCCCAAAGCATAATGTTTCCACCTCCATGTTTGACGGTGGGGATGGTGTTCTTGGGGTCATAGGCAGCATTCCTCCTCCAAACACAGCGAGTTGAGTTGATGCCAAAGAGCTCTATTTTGGTCTTATCAGACCACAACACTTTCACCCAGTTGTCCTCTGAATCATTCAGATGTTCATTGGCAAACTTCAGACGGGCCTGTATATGTGCTTTCTTGAGCAGGGGGACCTTGAGGGCGCTGCAGAATTTCAGTCCTTCACGGCGTAGTGTGTTACCAATTGTTTTCTTGGTGACTATGGTCCCAGCTGCCTTGAGATCATTGACAAGATCCTCCCGTGTAGTTCTGGGCTGATTCTTCACCGTTCTCATGATCATTGCAACTCCACAAGGTGAGATCTTGCATGGAGCCCCAGGCCGAGGGAGATTGACAGTTCTTTTGTGTTTCTTCCATTTGCGAATAATCGCACCAACTGTTGTCACCTTCTCACCAAGCTGCTTGGCAAAGGTCTTGTAGCCCATTCCAGCCTTGTATAGGTCTACAATCTTGTCCCTGACATCCTTGGAGAGCTCTTTGGTCTTGGCCATGGTGGAGAGTTTGGAATCTGATTGATTGATTGCTTCTGTGGACAGGTGTTTTTTATACAGGTAACAAGCTGAGATTAGGAGCACTCCCTTTAAGAGTGTGCTCCTAATCTCAGCTCGTTACCTGTATAAAAGACACCTGGGAGCCAGAAATCTTTCTGATTGAGAGGGGGTCAAATATTTATTTTCCTCATTAAAATGCAAATCAATTTATAACATTTTTGACATGCGTTTTTCTGAATTGTTGTTATTCTGTCTCTCACTGTTCAAATAAACCTACCATTAAAATTATAGACTGATCATTTCTTTGTCAGTGGGCAAACGTACAAAATCAGCTGGGGATCAAATACTTTTTCCCCTCACTGTCGCAGGCATCGGACTACTGCCGCCGCGTTTTTCTTGTTCCTCACTTTGCTGGTTTTTTGTTCTCCGAAAAAAACGTTTGGGGGCGTTTGGTGAAAAAAAACTCAGCTGTCAATCTCATGCCAAGTGTCATGAAGGGACTATGAAACACTTAAAGGTATGCATGCATTGATAAATATCCAGTACTTTGATGTTTGTTTACTTCCTCATGTATCTTATTTTTATTGTTATTATACCTTGCTCTTGCGAAGCACAAACTTGTTAGGAATGCACTGTATATTTTTTTTTATGTTTCTTTGAAAGGGTCGATTCACTTCTCAGTAAATATATGAATGTTCAACAATTTCCGTGCAGTTGTTCCTTGATAAAACATAAAACAAAAAGCATTACAGGTTTACCGCTTGAAAATGTGCAGCAATTGCTGGCGGTAACCGTTGACTTGTGTTGCACTTTGCCGATTATAAACATTTCAGTAAAATAGAAGTTGTGAAGTCATCTTCTGCAGTATTTCCAGTATACTTCAACATTTTTGTAAATTATATATTTTACATTTATTATGACGAGATTGTAATGCAACATTTATATGTTCATTAATACTTTTTATATGGGTTTTCAAATGTACACGTAAAAAACGTTACATTTTAGCAACTATGTTACATTCAAGAGCAATTATTTTTTATATACATACTAATTTTTCCCCAAATGATTCTATTTGCTAGGAGGCAGATAAGGATTTTTTGCTCGCGTTCTGCAGTGGATGGCACACACTCCCACAAGCTCTGCGTTCTGCAGTGGATGGCACACACTCCCACAAGAGCTGCGTTGAGATTGTCTCGTGAGGCCGCTCATTCTCTGACCTTTAATTTTTCCGCATCACATACAAAACCAAAGTACTGTAATTCTGATATTTATTTTGTGTGGACATTGGTGACAGCGCTGAGACCGTATACTTGCCACACTCGAGAAGCTGGCTTCAGTCGTGGGTGGCTGCCCGGACTTTAACCCAAGAACTCAACAGCTCAGCATTCCAGCATCTGAGCCACGTGGCCACCTGTAGAAGAAAATTTGAAAAAAATGGCGGTTTTCAAATTTTCTTGCTGTGGCTTTCGCACCTGATGATGATTGCTTGTGTTGCAGTCGAAACGTCGTGATAATTTTATTGTCTTATATTTTTATTATTTTATTGTTTTCCTTCTACGTGACTTTACCGAAAGAACCAAGAATATGAATCCCTGCAGTCACGATAGCTTTAAATCAAAATTTACAATCTGAGTACGACGTTTCGTCAGTAATTACAATCAGGCGACAGCCGGATTTGTGAAGTCTTACTGTTCCGTTCCTTATATAGAGGCGTAGATGTGTTGACCACGCAGCTGCGCTTTTGCACAATGAGGAGGGGGGATTACTCGGTTGAATCGCCGCGCCCTGAACATCGGTAGGTTCGGGATGGCCGTCACGACCGACTAGCCAAGTCGGCAAGCAGCCACGAGGACGGGCCCTGTCCCTGCTGCAGACTCCGGTGCCCTGCCGCTAGCCCGAGCCGCCCGGTAAAGCTGCACCGAGCAAAACAACGCAGAATGCGCCGGATCCCACGGCGTCTCTACAGCAGGGCTGAGCCAGGATGGCGTTCGGACGCGTGACCACCGTGGATGCCCTTGCGACAGCAGTGGAGTGAGCGAGCCATTGCAGAGCTGCGCCTTCACCCACCTTGTACGCGCCGCTGCCGGCGCAAGCGCCCAGGTGGGTCCGCAGTGGAGCGAGCGGCTCACAGTCGGAAGGGTGCGAGTTCAAGTC